GGCAAAATGCATTGATGTTCCTTTTCTGTTGGACACGTTTTCGGGTTTCTCCTTTTTCGGCTTCCCGACGCTCCAAGATAGCCTGAGAGGCTCCCAAGATCGCCCCAAGAGGGTCCAAGAGGACCCCAAGGCAGCCCCAAGACGGCCCAAGATGGCCCCAAGACAGCCCAAGAGGCGCCCAAGACGGCCCAAGAGAGCCCCAAAACGGCCCCAAGAGGGACCCAAGAAGGTGACCAGGAACCGAAAAGTCCAGCCTTCAGTCCCAAGAGGCCCCCATGAGGCTTCAAGAGGCCCCCAAGAGGCCCCAAGGGGCCCCCAAGAGGCACCCCAAGAAGCCCCCAAGAGGCCCCAACACGGCCCCCAAGAGGCCTCAAAACTGCCTCTCAAAGCCCCAGAAGGGCCAACTACGAGAGCCCAACCAACATCCGTGAGGCCTCTGACCCGCCACCCAACGCCTCCGAAGAATGGCAGCCGCCGAACCGCATCGCATTGACAACAACACCCCGACAAACGACAGCGGCGAGGCAATATGGGCCGGCGGAATGAGCGAAGCGATTAATGAACTCTTGAGGTCCGCGAGGCTTTCTGTTGGATCTGCGCTGACCCCCTCCATGGCGCGCGGAGCGCGTCAGGGGCGGCGCCCAGAGGCGCCGCCCGGGGGTTCCATCGCAAATCCAAGAACTCCGCACGAAGGGCCTGACTTTTATGTTGATGCCGTGTCTTTCGCCCTCGAGCACCATGCAATGACAGGCTTGGTGATGCGGCCGCTCTTGACCGCGTCGATGAGGTCGTACTCATCGATCCCGCCGACCTCGCCCAGGAGCAGGAGCGCCTTCGCGCCGGGGTCGTCCTGGTAGCGCAGGAAGTGGTCGAGGAAGCGGCTGCCCGGGTACCTTTCATAGGGGGACGACAGACCCAAATATCCGACCTCGGCCTTCAGGGGCCGGCGATCGGGCCCAGGGACCACCAAGATGGGCTTGGAACGACGAGCTGCCCTCAGGGAAGGGGCCAGGGCATGGTGGGCCGTGATTGCCGGATGTCTGGATCGCGGGGGCGAGCTCAGGAGTGGGAGTCATCGACCTGGAATCGGCCGTACATCTCCGATAGGCCGGCGATCGGCGATGGCGAATCCGCCCGTTCCTGTGTGGGGTGGCCCATCGAGCCCCCAGCTCCGATCCATGGGCGAGGGGGGGTCGACCCGTTCCCTAAGTGCCTGTCGCCGCCGATGGCGACGCCCTCGTACACGCCGTCGGAGCAGCGGCAGACCATGTTGTTGAGCTCGTTGGACATGCCTCGCCCCAGAACGCTCCACGCACGCGCGGGCCACATCCTCCCCTGGAGGTGCCGTGCGTCTCCCGGAGACAGGCGTGGGGTAGCAGAGGCTCCCATCCCCTCTTCCCAGGGCGTGTTGCCTCCTCAAAGGACCCTGTCTGTCCCGTCGCGCCCCTATCCGCATCGAGCCCGTGACGAATTCCACGTCGGACTCGTTGGAACAGCGTCGGAGCCGCGTCGACTCCACGCCGAAGCCGCGCCGAAGCCATGCCAGAGCCGCGTCGAGCTCGAATCGAGCCCGCGTCGGGCCCGAGAGAGGACACCGATTTTTGTTGGACAGACGAGGCCCCCCCGAAGAAGCAACGCAGCCAGGGGAGGGGCGCATCTGTCCATCCCTGCCCACGGAAGGCCGCTGGCGCCCCAGGGGGACTCAATGGGCTGGTGCACGTCTCAGTTGGGGGGGGCGGCACGGGCCTCCCGACTTGGAGACGTAGGCGATGGAGCCTGGGCGGTACAGGCGCGACATGACGATGTTGTCCAACATGCCGCCCGTGTTGCCGATGCGCAGGCAGCCGGGCTTGATGCCGCCGACCGTGGCGGGGCCGATCATGCCGATGCCCTTGGCCTCGGCCGCCTTGATGAGCAGAAGGCTCTGCTGCTCCGGCACACCCTCGGCGATGATGGCAACGGTCTTGACGTTTGGGTACTCCATCGCCTCCATTGACGTCTCATAGACCGAGCGGAAGGACGCGAAGTTGACGAAGACGGAGACAGCTTGGTGCTTCTCGCAAGCCTCCTTTGTGGTCGTGTACACGGGCATCAAGATCTCCTCGGTGCCCCAATAGAACTTCACGTAGTGGTTCCCGGAGAAGGGGAACACCATTGCGGAGACAGAGGGCTTCTTACGCTTGCACATGAAGTCGAAATCGAGCATGCCCTGGACGGCTCGGTTCTGCATGCCGTAGACGATGCAGGTCGTGTCGGTTGTGGCCGTGACAATGGTGTGCTTCGACGCAGGCGGCGCTGGCTTCTGCGTGTTGGGCTTCTTGTCCTTCATGTCGATCATCTTGCGCACCGGGGGGCCACACGACGCGCTGAGGTCGGGCTCTTCCTGCACCTCCTTGAGCCCGAGCGCCATGGGGATGATGGCCGTGATGTGCGTCTCCGGGCCGTAGACCTTGATGCCGAGGCCGAGCTTCTCGCTGGCCACCTTGACTTTGCGCAGACCCTCCACGTAGTTCGGGCCAGCACGACGGATCCAAATCTTGATGTTGTGCTCCTTGATGTCGTCCGCATAGTGCTGCAACGCCTGTATGAGACCCGTGAAGGTCGCTGCGACGTCAGTGAAATTGGCGATGCCGCCGCCGATGATCAAGATCTTGCCCTCAGGATGCTTGTACTTCAACATCAGCGAGAACAATGTCTTCGCATACACAAAAGTCTCTTCGGTCGACGGGGCGCCAGAATACTCGCCGTAATTCGCGAGCTCGCTCCCCATGCCATAGTCCGCGACAGTGTCGGCGTACACCACGGACGCACCGCCACCCGCCACCATGGTCCAGACGCGGCCCTTCCAAAAGAGCCCATAATCGAATCGATACGTCGGATCGGCGATCGAAATGAATAGGATCGGCGGAAATCGCCAGCCGAGTCGGGATAAGTCGAATCAGCGGAAATCGGAAAGCTAGTAGGCCTCCGTTGAGAAATCGGAATCCAGATCGGAAGCCGTGGTGGGGTCGAATCGGAAGCGGAAGCAATCATAATCGAATCGAACCGGAGGAATCGAAACGAGCCCTGCCTTCTCGTTCAGGATGGTCAACTTCAGCGAAGCACCCGTCTTGCCGTCCATGTCGCGGATGAGCGCCTCCTCGGCGTAGGCGGCGCGGCCGAACGGCGGGGGCCAGTCAACCTCCCCCCACTTCTGCGCAACCAGGAAGTTGGCGGTCTCGTCAATCTTCGCGGCCATGTCCAGAGGCACCACTGTGTTGTCTTCCAGCATCACTAGGGGGTTGATTTCCAGATACGCGAAGTGCAGGTCCTTGTAGAATTTGTAGAGGCACACAATGAAAGACGCCAAACTGGGTTGTTTCGCAGCTGGCACCTTCGACAATAGACCGGCGATGATCTTCTTGTCGTCGACGCCCTCCCCGATCGGTATCTGGAGACGCTCAGCCTTCGAGTCTACGTCCCCGACGTCAACACCACCCTCATGGTAGAACAGGATCTCGTCGTAGTAGCGCACAGTGTGGATACAGATGTAGAACTCTTCATCCTGCTTATGGGGCACCATTGGCTCAATTAGAAAGTGATTCAGCTGACCAGTTACGGTCTCCACCTTTTGCTCGGTGCACATCCTCTCCATGACCCACTTCTTAGCCTCGTCGAAGGTCTTGCCGAGTGCGATGAGGCCAGCCTTGCCACGACGCTTGATCAGTTGGTCAGGCTTGGCCACGAGCTTGGAAGTCAGCAGCCAGGGGTTCTTCTCCACAATCGACTCCCAAGTGTCCCCGCTGGTCGGATCAAGCACTGAGGGTGTAATGAGCACTCCCGCTGTGCCCATTTTGTGCTTGCCATTGGAGATCTCGGGGAGCCACTTCTCCAGCAACGCTTTACCCGTGTGCTCGCGGATGCACTTCACGGACATGACGGGCCGTACCGCCTTTGGCAACGCAGACAATAGGAGCCACTTGAGTAAACTGCAGCACCTTGACTCAAAACAGCTCGAGAAGCCAACAATGGGACATGATGCGGATGGCGAGGGGGATAAGGAATACACGTTCCCCATTGTTGCCCGTATAATTTCTTCTAGATCGTGTATCGTATGTACCGCTGTCACCGACTCCAGGTGCGAGGCACATATTTCAACAATTGAGACGTTGATTTCTAGTCCGCGCAGAGAAGCCATGCGCAATCTTGCAACGTCCGTGGGAGCCCAATAACATTGAAATAGTAATGTTATCATGACCAGCTCTCAAAGCACATGACTGCTCACCACCTCACAGGGTGAGCTTCTAAGTCCCACCAGCCCTCTGGGCGTAGTAGGTGGTCTAACGAGCTTTGCCCCACCCTCTCTACCAATATCTCTTCTTCCCTTGCTGGGGGGAGAGGTTTATCACTGTTCCCTATGAATATACACCCGGGGCTGTGCGCTGTACAGGCCCATCTCGAGGTAAGAAATCCAGCATCGTGGTGCACCCGTTAGCAAGCCATTCCTTACATGCTGTGCCTACTGTACTTGGGCGTGCCCTGTGGAAATCGATGCTCGCACGTGAGCGGCCACAAGAAACGGGTCCCACGAGAGAAGACACAGCGACCCGACGCCGAGGCTCATACGGGCCGCGAGCGCTACTCGACTGAGTGGAGAAGAACGGTGCTCACGCGCGACCTTCCGCGGGAAACTTGCGCGCGAATGTCCGCGCAGTGAACCCGGCTTTCTTCCGCCGCCCACCTGTTTTCTCTGAACGGGGGGGTGCCAACGAACGCGTTGCTGGCCCGCGCCGCTGCTTCTTCCCGGCCCAGGCGGGAGGCAGACGCGGGATCGTGAGGACGCTAGGCTCCCTCACGCCTGGTGCTGCTGGCGTGTCTCACGCCAGCAGGAGGACGAGACTGATGCCACGATGGGATCTCAGACGTGCCCGCATCGCGAACAGAACCATCACGACGAGAAATTGCTGGCAATTTTCGACCCCTGGGGGCCCTCGCCAGGCCCCGGGACCGTCAAAGAACGGCCAGGGATGCAACAGCGGGGCCTGGGGAAGGGTCGGGACTTCCAGGGACCCCGTATTGAGGAGATCAGGACACCGCATGTCTTGGTGGCTCAGGATGCGCTCCAAAATGCTCCAGAAGGCGCCTCGCAAATGGCACTCCAAATGGCCTGGCAGCCCGAGAGTATCGCCCAGGCATTGCCTGAGACTCGAACCTTGTTCGGACTGGAGCTGGGCAGCGCCGCCACCGCCGACCGGCCCCCGAACCGCAGGCGCAGAACGCGGGGCCCGAACCTCGGAGCCGGCAGGGCCAGGTGCACGCTCCTTGTGGGCGCAGCCTGTCCGAGCCCTCGCGGGTACTGGAGGCCTCCTGGATGGGGGCCGAGCAGGTGGGGTCGGAGGATGGCGCCGCACCGCCAATGCGTCGGCGATGCGTCGGCGCCGTTGGCGTGGAGAACACCGGGCCTGCCGATTCCTCTGCGATGCGGCGCGAGGCTGCGACCCCAGCTCCTCGGACCCAGCCTGGGAGGCCTATAGATGTATGGCTGTAACACGCAGGTGCCTGGACACTGCCGAAAACGTTCGGCCCGGCTCCCGCCGGCTCAAGAATCTCTTACTTAATTATATTTGGTCTGCAGTAAAAACCAATGGCCACGATCGGCCAGATGCCTCTCCAAGCAACCGTGAGGCCAGCTCAGCTGCTGCCAGCGAGCTCCTGGATGTACGTGATGTCGTCCCACGGGTGGCGGTACAGAGGCTGCTTCAGGCGCAGCTGGTCCAAGTAGTGGCCGATGAAGCCGATGGAGCGGCCGAGCACGAAGAGCCCGTTCAGGCAGCCGAAGCTCATCAGCTCGTCGCACTCCTCCCTCGAGAAGGCGCCACAGGACCTGATCATGTCTACGAAGGAGACGGCGATGCAGCCGTCGACGTTCAGGATGAGGTTGGCGCGCTTCCGTGTCGTGATCTGCTCCACCGCCAGCGCGAAGTCCAGGATCGCAGTCGACTTGAAGTGCTTCTTCGCGTACTCCTTGATCAGGACCACGCGCTGGTCCGGATTGGCCAGGGACTTGATGCGGTGCCCGATGCCCATGACGAGCTGGTTGTTCTTCTTGCACCTGCAGGGGAACACCACCCATAAGCACGAGCGTTCGGAGCTCTGCGCGGGTGTCTCGGATTGGCGCTGGGCCCCCCTCTCTCTGGCGCGCGGAGCGCGCCAAGGGCGGCGCCGGATGCGCCGCCAGGGGGGGCCATCGTGGACCCCAAAAATCTGGGCGGAGCTCCGCACTTGTGCTGTTACGCGATGTTTTCTCTTCGAACCTGTCGATGAAGTCCTTCGGGGTGACGCCACTGTCGTATGCCTCGCTGAACATCTTCGCGGCGTCGTCCAGCGCCCCGCCGAAGCGCGGGCCGATGGTGAGCAGGCCGCTGCAGAGGGCCGACACCAGGTCCTCCCCCCTCACCCCACTGCCCCCTCCCCCTGCCTGTCCCACCCCTCCTCCTCCTCCTCCTCCTCCTCTTCCTCCTCCTCCTCCTCCTCCTCCTCGAAGGCTCAGTGTCCGTTGGTGCGCTGCGCGACGGACTCCTTCAGGCTGCGTGCTCCTCATCGAATGCTGGACCTTTCCAGAGCTCCTGGCGTCGCATTCTTTACATCGAGCGATCTTGTACTGTTTCGGGCTGAGACCCCCACGGATCGGCCTGGTTCGAACGATGCTGCAGAAAGATAGGGGTCCAGGGCTCCAGTTGAGTTGTTGTTCACGATGTTGCACTTTTCGTGACGTTGGATCTCAGTGTCCTCCTCCTCCTCCTCCTCCTCCTCCTCCTCTCCCTCCTCGTGGAATATTGAGCCTTACTGAGACCTCATGGTTGTGCGCTCTGCGTCAAAGTTGTGGGCCTTTCCGTTGTTATGTTTGCCATCTCCTTACTAGTCGGGCACGCACTGACCTGGGTCGGCACAGACCCTAGTCGGCCAGGGCCCTGTCGCCAAGCAAGGACAGCCGCGTAGCAGCTCTCAAACCCGGGTCAGCGGAGGGCGCAACAGGGAGAATCGGCCCCACGTGGCCCCAAACTCGGGTCAGCCAGAAGGGATAGGCTTACAAAACTGGCCTCAGCGGGGCATTCTCCTGCTGTCGCAGCCACGGGGTTGTGGCACTCGCCTGGCCGATGTGAGCTTGACTCGCACCCGAACCCAACCTCAGACTCCGAAGGGCCGAGGAGGCCTGTCGTCCCCAGAGGCCCCCGAGGTCCAGGAGGCCTCCAGAGGACTCAGAACCAGCGGCACGAAGCGTCCAGCTACGCACCTCAGTCCGCTCCGAGCCTTGGTCCTCGCCTATTCTTCCCCTTCCGCCACGCCTCCCCCCCACCCCCCAGACCTCCGAGGAGAAGGAGGAGGACGAAAAGGAGGAGGAGCAGCAACAGGAGGAGGCCTGTTATTAGGCCTGGATCCAGGACCCAAATAGAACACCCCCGTGGGGGAAGGAGTCGAGGAGACCTCTGGGTCCGCGGACTGAAAAAAACCATGTCGGAGGATGCCTGGGCCTTCGCTCCCCCGTCCGTCCCACCCTCCTCCGATGCCGCAGCTTTTGCTCTTGGCAGGGGCCCCCAAGGGCTTCGACCACTTCTCGGCAGCGAGCGAGGGGGGGAAGTGAGAGAAGGCCTTCTCAGAAAGCGGCGGGACTTCTCAGAAGGCCTCCGGCATTCTGACATGTGTGCTGTGTCTTCGGGGAAGGCTGAGAGAACTTCTCAGATGGCCAAGGGACTTCCGAGCCTTCTGAGAAGGCCCACCCATCCTCACTACCCCCTGGGTGGGCTCGCCGCCGAAGGATGAAAAGCTGGCCGGGAATTGGTCGAGACCTGCGCTATGACAAAGAAATCACGTCGGGGGTCCAATGGGGGGTGTGGGGGGGGCGGCCTCTGCAGGAATGCGGCGCGGGGGCCCTCGTTTAGAAGGCAGGGGCCTTCTCAGAGGCACCTTTTGAGACGGCCTTCTCCTGTCGGGCGGGCGGTAATGGGGGGTGACCCACATGGGGGGCGAAGGAAAGGGCCCTATCAAGGGGCCCCCCTTCGGGCCCCCTTTGGGCATCGCCTGGCTCCACAAGGTGCCCTAGCAGGGCCCCTGCAGAGCCCCTCTCTTCCCCCCCCCTTTGGGTCACCCACCATTGCCGCTCGCCCGATCCTTCTCTCTTCCCCCCATGGGCTCGCCGCCGAGCTCCCCCGGGCCC